GGGGGTCAGCATAAATTCTAGTAATCTAGGGGGTTCAGCATAAATTTCTAGTAATCTAGGAGGTTTGGCATCAATTTCTAGTAATCTAAAGGGTTCAGCATCAATTTCTAGTAATCTAGGGGGTTCAGCATAAATTTCTAGTAATCTAGGGGGTTCAGCATAAATTTCTAGTAATCTAGGGGGTTCAGCATAAATTTCTAGTAATCTAGGAGGTTTGGCATCAATTTCTAGTAATCTAGAAGGTTCAGCATCAATTTCTAGTAAGGTAAAAGGTTCACAATTCATTTCTAGTAGAAAAACATCATGATTTGACATTTTAAAGTGATAACAAAGGATACATCAACTTGCTGATCTGATATGTTTTGTATGGTGATAGACTTGATGATATTCTGTCCAATGGAGACTTCACCAAAGTCGGTAGTTGTTCTACCGTGATTAGATATAACAACCAAACATGGCTTCACAGTGGGACAATGAACTTCCAAATACAGAGTGTTATAAACGCTGAAAAAAAAATTACATGGAAATTGAATGGAAATTCTTACACAAAATATGAAGACAAAACTGCTGATAAAGTAGATAGAGATGGAAAAAAACAACTCATAATGAAAAACAACCTGGCCACTTAGTTGCATGGACTCAAAATAGCTAGTGGAGGGCATATGTTGAATTAGTATTTTGTTATTCTGACACTGCAAAACTTTATAATTATGATACATTCTTTGGAATGTTTATGATCAATTATAACATCTGCAAGTATTGAATATTGATCTCACCTGTATGGAAGAGTTCCCGGATCACCAGGAATTCCTGAAGCCACAAAACATGGAATGGAGTAACTGCTAAAATTACCCTTGTAACTACGCAATAAGGAACTCTTAGCTGCTGTATAGTCATTGGATCTGTCAATAAAACACACAGTAAAGTAACCTTTGAGAACTGATCAATTTTCTACTATTTTTTGGTGCAAAATTTTATTTAGCAAAGTACAAAAGAGATATGTATGATGTTACTGAGTTACCAACAAGTACTGTAAAATACTTTATTTCAGCTGGAATTAATTTTCGCTGAAAAGACATTTTTGGGTGTTTTGTATGGAATTTATTTTCACTGATTTTTGACAAGTTGAATGTAAAATATAGAAAAAAAGGTATATTCGCTGGATTTAATTTTCACTGAATCATTCCTCCAGCGAAAATAGCGAAAATAAATTCC